GAAATATAGAAGGGCCAGAAAAGGATTTCAGCTAAAAACAGTGAAATCAGATACATACAGACGTTTTTACTACTGCCTCCCATCCTTGTTGCTTAAATCTGAATCAGCTTAAGGTCCCATATCTTTTTATTTTTAGACTTCCTTTCTTGTCTTCACCTAAATCCATAATATGAACAGTTAATTCAGTATTTAGGTTATTATGCTAATGATATCATTTTTAAACTATGGCTTATGTAATATTTTATAAGCATTACTACTGACACTACTATTCCTAGCAACATTAAAACTTTCTATTTTTTCTTTTATTTCCAAATACTGATGACCTTTCTTTATATACTTTCCATTTCCTTATGTGTATGGGCCCCATCACATTTCTCTTATGCTCTTCTTACCCACTTCCTACTCAAACTCTTCCACAACTTTTCTTTCCATGTAAATCAGACTACATCTCTACTAAAGACTCCTTCAACATAAATGTTTTAGATAAGGATACACAAATGGGCTTCAAAACTGCACATTAGTGGAATAAGACAGGAAATTTGATGAAATGAAAGGAAGATCCAGGGNAAAAAAGGAAGATCCAGATATGGGGGAGTTGTCCCCCCAAACAAGGGTGTGGAAGGCTTCAGCAGAAGGGCCAAGATTTTGAAAGACTTTGGACAAGCCCACGCTCATGCTAAAGAGTGGGTGGTATCTTGCTGGCTGTACATGAATTCACCATCACTCAGCCTATAGGTCATGGCAGGACAATTCACAATGACCCCTACTTCTACAGGATAAGGCAGAGAACCCAAAGCTTTTCCCTTTTTTCTTAAGCTCTAAGTTTTACCCAGAGGCAGTATCAAGTGTCTTATTTGCAACATAGCTCAGGGTACAGTCACAACATTGGTTCCCAATGACACATGTGCTTGTTGACATAGCCCCACAATCCAGCAACCTTGAGTGCCAAAGGCCAGGTGGAAACCTTCATATTTTTCATCACGATGAAACAGGAAACTCATTCCACAAGGTTAGACCCGTGTCGTGCCCCAATTACTTCAAGAGTTTTCCTCCTAGCTGTCCCACTGGTCCTCATACCACCTGAAGTCAAAGGCACTGGCATCACAGGAATTCCTTTCTCCTGCTGCATGGCAGATGAGAAGGGACCCTGCATTAGAAACAATGCCTTTGGGTATTGATGCATCAAAGAATGTGTTGTTACTTTTTCTTCAAGCATTGTAGTCAAGAGCAGTAACAGAGAGCAAGTTTCAAGGCCATTATTTTTCAGTGAAACTCTGATTTACTAAGCATTTTATAGTGAATCTTCTCCTTGCAACTGTGCCTTGGTGGTCAAACCAGATTTCTCAAGGAGAACAGATAAGCAGCTCACAACCTCCAGAATGCTTGAGGTTGGAATCAACCACTGTTGATTCCAGTGGGGATTACTGGCTCAATTTTTTTCCAATAGGAGCAGAATGGATTAGCAATTCTATTTAGTCTTTGGACCCATTGCAGGGTAAGAAAGAGAGAAAATCTGTGGTGCTCCAAACATTCATCTGGGGAGCTCCAGAGATGGTGGGTGCAAAAGCTTCATGGCAGTCAAAACCTTACCACTATATTCTCAATGCCTAGAGCAGCACCTGACACATATGAAGTGCTTAATAATTACTTGTTGAATTAGTGAACAAAAACAGAAATCAGTGAATTAGGGGGAAATTTTCTAATTGTGCTTCTCAAAGCCAAAATGATGCATAGAACAGAGGAGAACATTTAAAAAGGTCTAATTAGTGGCCTCAGAGAGATTAAAGTAGATATTTATTCATGAAACAGAAAGAAAATGTTATTTTTTAAGTAGCCAAAAATTAAAACAGTGATTTAGAAAATCAACTTGAAAGATTTCTCAAAATGCAAATAAAAAAAATTAAAGGGAGAGAAAAAAAAAAAGGTAAGAATATGATATGAAGAATAGATTCGGGAATCTTACATTTGCTTTTTAAAATTCTAGAAAAAAAAGAGTGAAAGAAAATAAATAATAAACAATAATAAAAGAACATTATTTAGAAATACCTGAACCTATATATCAGAATAGCTTAGCAAGTGGCAAGATCAAGTGTATAGTAAAGATCCACACATCTATCTATCTGGCTTAAATTTCCGAATTCAAGGAAAAATAAAACATTGCAAGTATCCAGCCAGGAAAAGGAAAGGAAGAATTAACCTACAAAAGGAGAAACAGAATCACCGTACAGTGGAAGGCAGGAGACCATCTTTGTAGAGTCCTGAAGGAAAAGGGCTATGACTTTTGAATTCTATACCCAAACAAAAATATGTTTTATTTGTGACAGAAAATGAAAGATATTTTTTAGACTTGCAGGACTTCAGAAGTTCACCAACATTTATAAAAAATTAATTCCCAGAGGAAGTAATCCTAATAAACAGTGAATCGGAATAGATAATTCAAGGAAAGGTAAACAAAACATTAAAAAAAAAAAAAAACACGAAAAGCACTAAAACCAAAAACATTTAAAATTAAAAATAAACATTTGTCGATAATGTGGTTGAGGAAAAATTCCTGAAAAGGAAGGTGCTCAGTATAAAACCTGTACTCACTTATGAGCCCAGGTTATTTTAATAATGCATGGAAATGGCAGAGGGATGAAAGAAGGTGAAAATGTCTTAAGTTTTGGTCTTCATCTGGGGGAAGAACATCAGCACAGTATCAAGTATGTCAGCTAAAGACTTAAATATAAACTCTAGCAGAGTAGAAATAGGATGTTAAATGTCTGAATCACTGGGAGAAAAATTGAAGGCAAAAAATATATCCTTTTAACAAAAGCCAGAAAAAGAATCAAAGGAAACAACAAGAGAATACAATAAACAAAAGTTATGAGATAGTATAGCATAAAAACACAAAATAGCAATTATCACAATAATGTGAATGGGTTAAATTTTTATATTGTAAGACTAGTTACTGTTTCTTGAAGATACTGATTAAAGTTTCCATCTCTGGGCTTTGCTGTTTCCCCTTCCTGTAATAGTCTTCCTAGAGCATGATTTGGGCATCTTGACCAATGAAGGAAAGGATCCGTGGCTTGTCTCTCACTTCTTTTGGATATCTGCTCAAATGTTAACTTATTAGAAGTTCTTCTCTGACCCTTCTATATACAATAGTACATCCTGTCCCCACACATTCCTAGACCCATCCGCCATTCCCTGACCCCCTTATTCTCATTTATTTTTTATCATAGCACTTTGTTGTCTTATGTATATATTTCTTCATTGTTTGGTCTCCCCACTAGAATGCAAGGACTTTGTTTTAATTATTACTGTATTCTCAGCACCTAGAATAATAGTTTGATTCACAGTAAAGTGCCCAGTATATATTTGTTTGATAAGTAAATTA